GTTTGTTCATTTGCCTGATCCCCCCCAAAATATACTGTATACATGTTTGTATATTTTACCTTGTAATTGTGAATTGGATATTTGCATGTGTGACAAACAAGATTGGAATGCAGGACTGTGTATACTGTTTAGTGTTGATATTTTCAATTTTTAAAAAAGGCTTCTTTATTTTTACATAAGTAGAGTCTTAAGAAGTAAAGGTAAATGAATAAAGGTGATGCATGTTTTTTTCTGTCTCTGTTAGTAAGACATGCAGTTATTCCTGAATATCCTTTGAAGATGATGAAGATGGTAAAAAAAATAAATAAATAAATAAAAAAAATTAAAGCTGCAAAAATGGATGCTGCTTGCTCAGCTTACAGGTTTGTGTAGCTTCCCAGGTTTGCTTGCAGCCCACGGAAAGTTAATGCCATGCCTTGATTTACAGGCAGATAAATAAAAATGAATGTGTGGATGGTATAAATATTTTTGTATGTTATTTTCAATTTTTTTTTTTTTTTTGTTTAGATGTAAGTATATTATAGTCCGTGATTTCTTCTTGATTATTGGTAAATGTGTTTAGACATACAATGTCAATAGGAAGAACTATTGTGTGATATTCAGTGAAGTGTTTATGTACATTGGAATTTGTTTGAAAGAAGACAACATTTTTGAGTAAGTATGGACTTCACTTTGTTTTATAGTTTTTAAATTAAAAAGTATGCATAGATAGACACACACACACACACACACACACACACACACACACACACACACACACACACACACACACACACACACACACACATACACACACATACACATACACATACACACACACATACACACACACACACACACACACGCACACACACTCACGCACGCACACGCACACACACACACACACACACACACACACACACACACACACACACACACACACACACACACACACGCACACGCACGCACGCACACATGTACGCATGCCTACACATGTGCACACACATATACACATACATACACACACATACATACACATATACACATACATACACATACACATATACACACATACATACACATACACATATACACACATACATACACATACGCATATACACACATACATACACATACACATATACACACATACACATGCATATATACACACACATATACACACATACACATACATATATATACACACACACATATACACACACATATGCACACACATATGCACACACATATGCACACACATATGCACACGCACACGCACACGTATACACGCACACGTATACACGCACACATATGCACGCACGCACATCCACGCACACATACAAATGCACGCACGCACATCCACGCACACATACGAATGCACGCAGACAAATGCACACAGACAAATCCACACAGACAAATGCACGCACACAAATGCACGCACACAAATGCACGCACATTAATGCACGCACACAAATGCACGCACATTAATGCACGCACACAAATGCACACACACACACACACACACACACACACACACACACACACACACACACACACACACACACACACACACACACACACATACACACACATACACACACACACACACACACACACACACACACACACACACACACACACACACACACACACACACACACACACACACACACACACGAACACACACACACACACACAATGAATGATATAACAAAAAAAAGCGAATTTAACGTATCCACATTGTACTAATGATGGTGAAAATGATAATAAATGATGATACAAATACAAATAAGGCAGCCTAAGATCCGCATTGAAATTTATTTGGTCTCGGTTCCGTGTTTCGATACAAGTGGAGTTCCATGAAACGGTTTCGCACGTGTATGTGGTTGTTGTAGTCGAATTGCGTTTTAAATCACCTAGATTTTAAAGAAAAAATCATGTTGGACTGTATATTTAGTTTGGTATTTTTCTTTACTTGAGTTTAATACGTGTGTGTTTCTAGCGAAGACGAAACATTAGGGCTTGTGACATCCGTACAGTATATATTGTAAACATATTTAGTTTCGATGGATCAGATTGCAGTAATGTTGAAAAAATTGAAAATCAGGAACAACTCTGACGTTATGCGTAGACTTTTGTCTCCAGGGCATAAACACGTGAACAACTACAGCAACAACAACAGCAACAATAATATATGGAAAGGTAAGATTCCCTATTTGATGCGTATTAATTGTTGGTAATTATACTAACCCACATTTATGTAATTCCCGGCGTGTCTATCGTTTTCTTGCTGTGCAGTATTTCATATCGTATATTTGGTTTCGGTTTCACACAGCCGTATGGTACAAAGTAAGCGGACAATATGTAGTATAAGGTAGTGGCAGAGTTGGGTAATAAAACCTACATGAAATGATAGAACAAGATAAACCAAGACAAAGTTCTTCTATGGCAATATGTGTGCAAATGCTTCCCACGGGTGCTAGGCATGTATATTACCCCAGGGGTCTAGAGGGCAGAGCTC